TGTGAAAGTCTGTGAAGGGAACAGAGTTATCTCTTCATCTTTGTATCCACAGAAGTTAACTCAGTAACTTAACACTTAATAAATATTTGAAGGGTGGATGGATGCATGGACAGTTGAATAAATGATGTCTACTGGAATCAAAGATGTGTATTGAATAGGAAACCCCAAAGTCTCTGGAAAAGTTCAAAAAGAGGTGTGAATCTAACTTTCTCTTAGTTTCTGCCTGTTTTACCTGAGCACAGAGGAAGATCTTCCTCTCAGCTATGACCTGGCATAATCCAAATCTGGCTCTAAAAAGCAAAGGAGAGCAGGAAAGAAGTGGGAAGAGGGACCATAGCAAGACAGATGATAAGGAATCTATTCCTTGACCATGCCGGTGCACAGGAGTGATACATAGCAAAAATTGCTATGAGAAACTCCACCTGGAATCACCTGGGATAATGATTAGGCAGACTCATCAGGGTAAACTCTCCTGGTATGGCGCTGGTGGTGACTCAAGGCCTTGCATACATGTGTGGGTAAAATGGCCAGGCAGGGGAGAAGAAACTTTTCTGGGATTCCTTGACATGGGAGTCCAATGCACTGTGATTCCAAAATATGTCGGTGAAGTCTTAACAGGGGCTAAGGTTAGATTGGGAGGATATGGTTGATGGGACTAAGATGAAAGTTTGGATGAAAGTTGGGATTTTTGAACAAACTTTACGTGAGATGATGGAGTCTCCTTTATCTGAATGTATAATGGGGATAAACATGTATGTAACGGGTGAATGTTTCTTCTACCTAGTATTGTAAAACAGAAGGCATGCAAATTCACCTTTCAAGCAGTATGTCCTATTACCATGGACATGGTAAATGTGAACCAGTAAGATTGCCCAAGCCCACACAGTACAGAATAGAAGCTGGAGTGCTGATACGGGCAAATTCTCTGTTTGATAGCCCTATGTGGAGTGCAGATTGGGGTTTATGGCAAAAGCCTATAAGTGCCTTCCTGTGACAATTACCAGGACTTTGGACTAGAGAATTTCCACCACAGGGACATTTACCACCTCACTATGGGACATTAACTGAAGCTACCCCTATGGACAAAGGACATAAAATAATCTGAAACCTGAAATACCAGTGATGTCTGGGGTGATGTCAGAGAAACATTCCAATGGGGATGGCAATGCCCAGAAGAAGAGTTCCATAATAAAGTGGAAATGGTTATGTAGGATCATGCTACCTGGATAATGCAAAGAGGAGATACTCACAAGCAGGGAGGCTCTTTTCCCCCAGGACTGACTCTAGAACTGTGTGGGGAGCTGCTGGGTTATACAGTTCCCTATAAATAGCTCTTGACCAACTGACAAGAGCTGCTTGGTTTGTAAGTGGCAGTTCCAAGGTAAATGGACCACATGCTTTTTGGAAGGACACCATTCTGCCAGTTCTTGCAACCTCATATCTGATTAATAACTACCACCTGACAATCTTGGCACAATTTTTCTTTATAGAGCCAAGTCTACCTGACCAGTTTCTTGTATATTAAGGACTATCCACATATCTGTTTTCTCAGACTCATTTTCACCAATCTTCTAATCATGTTCCCTCCAAGTCCCTGGCCATCCAGCTAAACCATGGGCCACAGTCCATTAACCAATGGACTTTTACCTCTGGCCATTTCTCCTTCCAGGCAAAATGAAGCATCAAGTGCTCTGATAGATGTTCTGCCCTCTGGGAGGATTTCTCTTTGCCGTTGCTTTTCAGGGATGCCCCTAAAAGGGGCTGTAGTGCTAAAGCTGTCCACTTTCAGGTGGTGCCCACACATCATGCAGACTCATCTATAAACCAGGCCTGAGTTTTCTCTTCCTCATCAACCAACCATGGGGAACTCCCCAGGAGATGATAGGTGCAGGTGATGAGGGGAATGTAGCAGGAGTAGGGCATCTGGGCCACTGCCTGTGCAATCTACTTGTGTTTTCAGGGACTGCTAGAGCCCAATTTCACATATACCACTTCCATTTGATGATGGAGTGCTACTGTGATACCAACTTTATGACTTAGTAAGTCAGACAACACCTAGTTCCTGATGGCTGCTCAGGTCACTTGGTAATTTTGTGGCTCACGGTTCATGCATCAGAAGATTTAATATTTTTAAGGTGTTAGTACTTCCTAAATTGATCTACAGATTCAATACAATCTCTATTATAATCCTAGGTGACATTTTTATAGAAATTGACAAGCTGATCCTAAAATTCATATGGAAGTTCAAGGAACCCAGAATAGGTAAAACAATTTTAAGAAAGAAGAACTAAGAAGATTTACACTTCCCAATCTCAAACTTACTACAAACTGCAGTAACCAACGCAGTGTGGGACTGGCATAAGGATTGGCATATACTTCAATGGAATGAAATTAACAGTCTATAAATAAACCCTAAAATTTATGGTCAGTTGATTTTTGACAACGGTCCCAAGACCATTCAATAGGGAAAGAATAATCTTTTTAATAAATGGTGATAGGACAACTAGATATCCACACGCAAAATGAAAAAAAATAAAGTTGGACCCCTTACCTCACATCACATACAAAATTTACTTCAAAATAAATAAAAGACCTAAATGTAATAGCTAAAAAATAAAAAACTTTTAGAAGAAAACATAGGCACAAATCCCCCATGAAATCATACGGGATCAAGCGATGGTTTGTTAAATCTGACCCCAAAAGCACAAGCAACAACAACAACAATAAAAGATAACTTGGATTTCATAAAAATTAAAACTTTTGTGCTTCAAATGGAACCACCAAGAAAGTGAAAATACAACTCACAGAGTAGGAGAAAATATTTGCAACTCAGATGTCTGACGAAGGACTTATATCCACAATATATAAGAACACTTACAACTCAATAATTAAGAGAGAAATAACCAAATTTTAAAAATGGGCAAAGAATCTGAACAGACATTTCTCTAAAGACGATGTACAAATGGCCAACAAGCATATGAAAAGATGGTCAACATCATTAGTCATCAAGGAAATGCAAATCAAAGCCACAGGGAGACATCATTTCACGTCAACTAGGAAGGCTATAATCTAAAACACGGATAACAAGTGGTTATCAAGTGGCAAGGATGAAGAAAATTGGAACTCTCATTCATTGCTGGTGGGAATATAAAATAGTACAGCCACTTTGGACATCAGCCTGGCAGTTCCTCAAAAGACTAAACACAGTTATATAACCCAGCAATTCTATTTCTAAGTATTTATCAAAAAGAAATGAAAGACTATGTCCACTCAAAATCTTGTACAGGAATGTTTATTTGGCATTGTTTATAATAGCCACAAAGTGAGGAAAAACAAAATGGCCATCAACTGATGAATGGATAAACACAATATGGTATATCCATTAAATGGAATATTATTTCACCATAGAAAGGAATGAAGTATTGATACATGCTACAACGTAGATAGACATTGAAGAAATTATACAAAGTGAAAGAAGCCAGTCACAAAAGACCACGTGTTTTATTATTCCATATTATGAAATTTCAATAAATAGGCAGGTCCATATAGGCAAACCCATATAGACAGAAAGCAGATCAGTGGTTGCCTAGGGCTGGGGGGATGCGCAGAATGGGGGTTGATGGTTCAAAGATACAGGATTTCTTTTTGGAGTGATAAAATGTTCTAAAATTTATTGAGGTGATGGTTGCACAATTCTAAACACGCTAAAAATCTTTGGGTTTTTCACTTTTAAATGAGTGAATTGTATCATATATAAATTGTATCTCAATACAGCTATCACCAGAACAAAAAGGGAAGCAGCAAAGAGAGAGACAGACAGAGAGAGTCCCCGACCTGTGTCTAAAGCCCAGCAGTTCACGCAGTGACTCTCCACATGTTATTTCACTTGGTCCTCCCAGCCACGCTGTGGTGGAGAAATGACCTCCATTTTCAAGCTATGACAGCTGTGTGTGGTCTGGTCTCAACCCAAACCCGAGGTCCAAAAGGAAAGAAGGAAACTAGCTGAGGTAAACACACAGCTAGGACATGACGAAGCAGGATTCGAACCCAGTTCTGTTGGATTCCATTGCTAGTGCCCTTTCCTTTATGCCACACCATAGTCTCAGGATCCGAGTCCTATGCCCCAGCTGCTGGGTACCACTACCCGCTCCCACTCCTGCCTCCTCCCCAGCCCCTTGCTGTGCACACTTTCTGCCTGCTTCTCTTGCCAGCCACCCTGTCTCCACCCCCACTGCACACAGAGAACAAGGACCTAGTCTTGGCACCACAGCCAGCTGGCCCCATTCCTCTGGGCAAGCAATCCCTGGGCCAGAGAAGCTTGCTTGTGCCTCAGGAAGCCCCAGGGGCCCAGAGAAAGAGGGAAGAAACAGTCTCAATAATTAAGAGAAACAGGCCAGGCCAGAGACCACCGCCCTACCTGCCAGGGAGCCCCTGAGATGGGCCGTGAGGGCACTGTTCTCCTGCAGGAGCTCCTGGCCAGAGTCCCCACCATGGACAGACTCCCAGCAGAGCGGAAGACTCCCCAGGAGGAAAGCAGTGGGAACGGGGACATTGTCTGGGACAGCAGTCAGGGGCTTTGGCCTGTACTGGCAGCCCAGACACTGCATATCTAAACCAGCCCAGATGTTCAGTCCCAACCCTTACTCCTTCCTGGGAGGTGATCCCAGCAGGTTTGGGATGGACCACCTGGCTCCCACAACCCTCCTCCCCATTGGCACCAGGTGTTAGGGTCTGAACTGGAAGAAGGGGTGTTCCTTGGGAGGGGAGACAGTCAGGAGGAGGGGAGAGATTCAGAAAATGAGGCTGAGGATGGGATCAGTCACCGTGATCACCTCACCCGCTGAGCCAGGCCTTGAGGGCAGGACTTCCTTGCTTGGCCCAGCCAATAGGCTGGGCACGGACTGGTGGGACAAAAGCCAGTTGCTGCTGGGGTGGAGCTGGCTCCTCACAAAAGAGGGGTCTGCCCAGGGTTCCGCGTGAGCTGCAGGGCCAAGGCCAAGATGAGCGGTAAGCGGGGTGCCTCTTAGGGACTGAGAGATCTGAGAGAGCGAAGCCTGAGGAAGGAAGTGGGGACATTGAGATAGAAGAGGAACATGATTGGGCAGTGGGAATGGCCAAGGGGCCTGAGACGGGTCTGAGGGGGAGGTTGCAAAGGGGCCATGCAAAGGGAAGAAGGATGGGGCCTGAGACAGGGACAGGAGCCCCATGACGGGCTCGGGAGGGATCGAGGTGCTGAAAGTGAGTCAGTAAAATAGAGATGGGTCTGGAGAATGAGTCTGGGGATTGGGGCCACCCAAGGGGAAGAACATGGGGACTGGCGGAGAAATGGTGATAGCTCAGAGAGATGGGGAAATGGTCAAGGGTGGAGATTGGATTAGGGAGGTTGAGGGAGGTGTGGGGGATAGAAAGATGGCTTGGGGAGTCTCTCCCATAGGCACCCCTCTCCTCTTTCCTGAGGAGTCGCCCTGCAAAGGCTCTGTGGGGTGGGGGCTGCACCAGGAACCAGCTGGGTCTCCTGCCCTCCCTCAGCTGGTGGCCCCTGAAGACCCCCCTCTTCTGGGAGCATCAGATGTCCCACCTGTACAACTGGACCAAGGGGTTCTCACCTGCCCAGAAATCCTAGGGCCAGTGGAAGGGGGTACAGTGTGTCACAGTTCCTGGCTGCTCCCCTTTGAAGCAGGTGACACTGAGGAAACCACACAGCCCCTCGTTTCAGCCCCCACGTGAATTTCTCTGTAAATGATACCAGGCCAGTTAATTGTGGAGAGGAAAACCAAGTCACTCAGGACTTGTTGCATGGTAGCTATTAACTATCTGGGCAATTGTTTCCAATCTTGGCTTTACATGAAATACCAGAAAAGCTCCAAAAAAAATTATGGTGAGGCCAGAGAACAACAGGACTGCCAACTTCCCTTGGGTCACACCCCACCCTCCAAAAGAACCATGCCTTCCTCCTTCCCGCACTCTTGCTTTCACGCACACCCCCCACACATCCGCTCACGAAGGACGCATTCCCAAAGAACACAGACACCCTCAGGCCCCCCCAGCCAGCCTCACACTCAAAGTGCACACACAGAACCAAACACAGCACAGAGGCACTCGTACCCTCGCTCTGCCTCAAGCAAATGCACAGATTCCACCACCCCCCCTTCCAAACCCACACCCGACTCTACGGTCCAGCTCACCTTCCCACACACATGTGCTCAGGTGCCGACACACCCCTCACGTACAATCACAGACGGCGCACAGGCACCCAGGCCAGCAATCACAAACTCACAATCGCAGACACTTACATCATAGTCTCACACATAAACGGACATGCACGTAAAACCACAGTTCCTTTAAACCCTTGGCCCTTAAACATGGTCAACTGCAACAACACTCACAGACAAGCTCACACATACAGTCGCTACCAGGTACATTTACAGTCAAATAGGAACACACACACCTCCACGAGCTTCTAATCACATACACACGTGAACCTGCAGTCCGCGTTCACGATCACACATTAATCATACAACTAACACCACCGCCGTTCACACATGCATCCATAATCCACACAACACAATCACTCCCGCCGACATGATCATAAATACGTGTATTTACAAGCACAGCTTCACCAGACACTGCCCTGAAAGCCTGCCCTGCATTCGTGCACACAGCCAAGCTCCTCCTGGGTAAGGCGGGCAGTGCACAGAGCCTGGGCCCCAGAAGGGCAGCCCGCATTGCTTTCTCTGCCCCCAGGAATCCTGATCTTGGGGCTCCTGCTGGCTACCCCCAGCTGCCATGGCTACAATGAGGAACTGGCCAAGTGCTTCCAGAACCCCGATTATTAGTCCTTCCTCGTCACAGCCCAGGAGGGGCTCCACGTCTCCCCTCTGCTCATGCGTGTGGTGGTAGTGGGAGCTGGCATGTCAGGCTTGGTAGCAGCCAAGACCCTGCAACACGCTGGCCACGAGATGAGGAGAGCATGGAGGGGCCTCAATCATTCGCCTCTAATTTGCGTCCTTGGGTGGGAAAAAACAAAAAAGTAGAGTTAACAGCCAGCTCTTGGACAACTGCACATAACCCACAGGTCTCTTAAACCCTTGGCCCTTAAACATTGTCAAGTGCAATTTGTGTTCTCATGAAAACAAAAGTGAAGGGCTACACTAACAGGGAGAGCCAAGTAGTACCCTGTCCCCTGCCCAGCAGGAGCTTCGCTTGTGTTACTCAGGGCAGCGCCAGAGGAAACCCGCTGGTGTGATCATGCTGCACGTGCAGGGGCCTAATGCTGGAATTCTAGGCCAGAGCACGTGGCTGGGCAGGGATGAGAGTTGCTGGGGGCAGGGGTATTGAATGGGGGGGGGTACAAAACACAGCACATCTCTGGAAACAGGAGCAGCTTCTCCGCACACCAGGTGACCGTCTTGCAAGCCAGCAACCACATCGGGGGTCACATGGTCTCATTCAGGAACAAGGAGGAGGGCTGGTACGGTGAACTGGGGCCCATGCGAATCCCAAAATCCCACAGGTAAGTCCTGGGAAAGGGATGCAGCAAAGATTAGGAGAAGGGATGACGAAGGCGCAGGAAGGGGCCCTGCTGCCGTCAGGGCAAAGCCCTTTCCAATACACTGTGTCACATGATTCAACTCTGCAAGTCAGGACTAACACTCATCTCCCATTTAACGGAGGAGAAGACCGAGGCTCAGAGTCCAGGATCACACAGAAAGCAGTAGATCCCAAACTAACAATTATAATAGTTATCACTAACACTTCAAATTGTGTGCTTTAAATACAAGCAGTTCCTGATATGTCAATCATACTACACTAAGCTGTAAAATAATAATTATTAATAATCTTAGTAGCTACCATTTTTGAGCACTTAGTATGTATGGCTCTGTGCTAAGTGCTATATGTGCATTATTTAATTGATCTTCACAATCCTGTAATTTGATACTCTTATTATTGCTATTTACAAATCAAGAAATTGGGTTCAGAGATATTACGTGACTCGCCTAAGTTTCTCCTAGGAGAAAGTGACAAAGCTCCTCCTCAAAGTCAAAGTGGCACCTGGCACAAGAGCATATGCTGAACCCCTAAACTGTTTCTAACTCCTAGGAGAGAACCAGGCCCCTGTGTCTGAGGCTTCCAAAGGAAAAGAGATCTCCAGCCTGGTATCTCGCATGCCTTCACAAATGAATTCTTTTTTGCCTTAAATGTAAAGTAAACCCGAGATTTCCCTCCGTACACCACCCAAAACAAAAACCAACTAAACTATCCCAAACTAGGAATCTTTAGATATGGCCTCAAACTTACTCAGAAATGGAAAACGAAATTTCAAACACTGTCTAAAACAAAAGATTTCTACCTCTACTCTGGAGTTCTATAAGCTGGGATTTCCTATAAAGAGCCTTAATTCAGTGGTGGATGAACTCCCCACTCCCAAGGGACCCAGGGTGTAACAGAAGGAAAAGAACTAATGCCCGCAGCAAGTGGAAAACGGGATTAGAGTTGAGGGAGCAGTTAGTCTGAAGCTTCCTGGGCACACGAAAAAACTGGTTTTCCTGGAAACGGTTTCTACTGTGAGGCCAGCAGGAACAAGGAGCCATTGGGATGGGGGCCATGTTACACCTATCTCTGCTCTAGGCTGGTCCACACCTATGTCAGGAAGCTTGGCCTGAAGCTGAACAATGGCAACACCTGGTTTCTCATCAAAGGACAGCGCTATCGTACCTTGGAGGTCAAGGCCAACCCAGAGCTCCTGGGCTATTCCATGAACCTCACAGAGAAGGGCAAGAGCGCTGTGAGTCTCTTCCATCTGTCCATCAACAAGGTGCCTCCTGCCTCACCCCAGCCAGGATCAGGAAGGAAGAGGTTCTGGCCCAAGGTCACCTGGCAAATTAGTGGACTGACCCAGGTCACCTGACTCCTATCCAGTGCTCTTGTGATTGGGCTTCCTTCCTTCTAACACCCCCTAAGAATGTTTCCCCCAGTGCCAGTGCCCAGTCCCCCTCTTCTCCTGCCCCTGGGTGGTCATATAGCTCATGCACGAGCAGTGGCAGCAGAAGGAAAGGGAACCACTAGATGTTACTGAAAGCTCGGCCACTTGTCCACGAGGCCGAATCAGAAGAACAAGGATAAGTGGTTTGGAGAGGAGGAAAGAGAAGTTTTATTACTTTGCCGGCAAAGAAGGAAAAATGGTAGACCTTTTCCTCTCAAAGTCCAGATTTCTTAGACATTTGCAGAAATGCAGAACTTTTAAAGGATGGGTTCTCAGCCTCAAGCAATCACTGTTCAACTACAGTTGATGATTCTGATCATCACATCTCCATGGAAGACAATCTTGTGACCTCTGCCCAGGACCTCCCTTTACCAGGTCTGGGCTGGGCCATCTCCTGTTGCACAAATGAATAAAAGACTTACCCTGCCCCTCCCAACTACTGGCCTGAGGCAGGGATGCAGGCTTTAGTTCTCAAAAAGGAGTGGAGGATGTTTTGAAGAGACAGAAAATATTTTTGCCATTTTTTTTCAGGCCATTCCCTCTGTTACACTAGATAACCCAATTCTTGGTAATGAATTAGTCCTGGGTCACAGTGAATGTCTTTGCCCTAAATTTTAGTCTCCAAAAGGTCTTTAACTGAAGATGAGCCATTTGGGGGTTTCCCCTGCTTCTTCCATCCCCTCACCTCCTCGTGCCCAACCAGGAGCCCTGCCTCTAATCTAAAGCTCCTTCTCTCCCCTCCCCTCCCCTCCCCTCATGCAGCTCAGGCAAAGTCTGAACACGTTCAACTGCAGCCACCTGATGTCCTTTTTTGATTCTTACTCCACCAAGGCGAGGGAGGCAAAGTCCCAGGATAGGGGTGGGGTGTTGGGGTCTGTGCTCAGCCTACGCCCCAGGGTTATCCCCTGCCTACCCGGATGCTCTTTTCCCACTGCCAAAGCCATCACCTCCCTGGAGTCCAGGCCCACCCTTGCCTGGGCCCAGGCCCCTGCTGAAGCCCCTTCCTACATAATGGGCCCTCCCCCCACACTTCCATCTCTGGTGGCCCCTCCCCACAGGCTTACCTGCTGAAGGAAGGGAAGTTGAACCAAGCAGCAGTATATATGATGGGGGATGTGATGAACAAAGATACTGGATACTATAAATCCCTCAGGGAGTCCCCGCGGTCTGCTTTCATCTTCTCTGAAAGTGAAGAGTAAGGCTGATCTGGGGCAGGACTGGAGTTGGGCCCTCCTCCAACACTCAAAGCAGAGAAAGGGAACTGGGATTCACTGAGCGTTTACTATGTGCCAGGCACCGTGCTAACTAAGCACTGTCCAAGAATTGTCACATTTAATCCTCATGGCCCCTTTAAGGTAGGTGCTATTATTCAAAGCCATTTCTAAGGTGAAGATGCTGAGATGCTCTGAAGCTTACCCAAGTTCACACAACTTGGGCAAGGGCTGGAGCCAGACTCCAAACCCTGGCCTGTGGGACTCCTCCTGGGAAGCAGAACTGCAGGGCAGCTGAATCCACAGGAGCTAAGCTGCCTGTGTCATCCTGGGAAAGTCACTTCTCCCTGGGTATCAGTCCTCCAGACTATCAAATTAAACACCCAGGAATCCCTCCTTGACCGAGGGCTGTATATTAATTCAAGTGATGTATATGAGGCGTCCGGCACAGGGTGCAGGGAGCTAGCCCGTGCCTTTTCAGGCCAGGAGCGCTGCTGGTAGCTGACCACGCAGGCCGCGGTGCCCCCCACCCTCACACACCCCCCTTCACCCCTGCAGCTTTTCCGAGACCACCGGTGGCTTTGACCAACTCCCCAACACCCCCAGCGCCAGCCTGAAGCCTGGCACCATCCGTCTGAGGTCCAAGGTGGAGGTGGTGGCGAGGGTCGGGCCTGAGGTGCGGGTGTCGTACCGCACGGGCAGGCGGGCCTCGGCGCTGGGCACCCTCACCGCAGACTACGTCGTGGTCTCCGCCTCTGCCAAGGCCACGCGCCTCATCGCCTTCCAGCCGCCCCTGTCCCCAGACAAAACAGATGCCCCGCGCTTGGTGCACTACACCAGCACCACCAAGGTGGTTTTGACCTGTGAGGAGTGCTTCTGGGAACAGGATGGCATCTGGGGCGGAGAGTCCATCACGCACAGGCCCTCGCGCCGCATCCTCTACCCCAGCCACAGCTTCCCCAGCGGTAAGGGCGTCCTGCTGGCCTCCTACACCAGGGACGACGACTCCCTCTTCTTCACGGCCTTGGAGCACGACCAGGTGGCAGATATCGTCCTGGACGACCTGGCGGCTGTGCACCAGATACCCAAGGAGGAGCTGCAGCGCATGTGCCCCTCTGCTGTGGTCAAACAATGGTCTCTGGACCCCCTCACCATCGGCACCTTTGCTATGTTCACACCCTGCCAACTTGTGGACTACACGCAGCAGCTTTCCCAGCCAGAGGGTCGCATCCACTTTGCAGGTGAGCATACCTACCTGCCCCTTGGCTGGATGGACACCGCCATCAAGTCTGGCCTCCGGGCAGCCAGGAACATCCAGGCTGCTGTGGAGGAGGAGGCCCCGGTGGGACAGAAACAAGATCCTCACCAACATCAAGAAGGCCTTCTCCCCCGAGAGCAATCCCTGAGGGAATCTGGCAGGGGCAGGCTGGGAGCTGGGAGGAGGAGGCAGAGACCCAGGAGAGAGGTCACCGTTAGTCCCCCTGGCCCACAAGCAGGAACCCAAAAATGCCAGACAAAGAACACAGCTGGCAAGTCCACAAGAAACATCACCCCCTTTCCTGCTTCTCCACTTGGACAGCCCTTGCAGAAAGAAAGCAGCAGAGTCAGGGTATATGGTGGGGCAAGAAAAAACATCAAGGATGGAGAATGCTACAGTCAGCCGGTAGCTTGGAGGAAATTGTCTCCTACTGCACAATAATATGAAGCAAAAAGAAATGGTTCAACGACACCTAATTTCTGTCACCTACAACTACAAGTCCCTAAAGGAACAGTAACAGTAAACCACAGATTGACGACACACACACCCACAGCAGACACAAGCCCATGACTGTGTAACTGAGCCCAGGGCCTCACATCTTGGCCCAACATGGAGTCTAAGTGGATGGGAGACATAAGGATTCCTTTTTGCTCTTTTTTAGTGTGCAACAGCAGAGTCGTGGCTTCCTAGAGATGTCTCCTGCCCACGGACTTTTCCTCTCCATCCTACCCCTCCATCACCAACCAGAACCTGCCACCTCTGCCTGCCCAGTCCACACATCCCTGGGGGGGGGACACCAAGTTCATTCTACACGCTCCTTTCCCAGTCTTCTCCTCTCCAAAAACCAGCCTGTCCTTCCAGGCCCAGCTGAAGTTATCCCCCTCCCCAAATCCTCCCTGAACATTCCCACCCAAACCCCAGAGATCTCTCTCCTTTGCACCACAACCCTTCCCTCTAGCATCTCAGACATCTGGACTGCAGATCTCATTATGCTGCTATGTACTTTACTTCATGAGGTTACATTATCTCCCCGGCTAGACCGAGAGCCCCCAAGGACTGGGATCACACCTTGTATGCCTTTTTGTGTTTTCTTCAATAGCCATGAAACACGTTATTTCCCTCAGCCTGTCAGTGAATATTTATTACACACCTACTATGTGTCAGACACTAAGCACCAGAAACACAAAGAATGAGCTGCATTATTAAATTGAATCAAACCTCCACTCCCACCTGTGTCCCCACATCTCCAAGGATCAGCTCCCAAATCTGGCTCACTTTTGACCCCAAATCCTTGGAGACCAAGGGCCATTCCTAGGTATTTGGGTCTGATATAGTTTGGATACTTGTCCCCTCCAAATCTCATGTTGAAATTCTATCCCCAGTATTGGAGGTGGGGCCTGGTGGGAAGTATTTGGGTCATGGGGGCAGATCCCTCATGAATGGCTTGATGCCCACCCCACGATAATGAGTGAGTTCTCATTAAAGGAACCTGGAAGCCCCTCCTCCCTCTCGCTTCTTCTCTCGCTTTGTGACACACCTGCTCCCCCTTCCCCTTTCACCTTGATTGGAAGCTCCCGAAGCCCTCACCAGAAGCAGATGCTGGTGACACACTTCTTGTACAGCCTGCAGGACCATGAGCCAAATAAACCTCTTTTCTTTATAAAGTACCCAGCCTCAGGTATTTCCTTTATAGCAGCACAAAATGGAGTAACACAAGGTCCAACTAGGCAAAAAGAAGTAAATAAAGTCATACTCGCTCTTCCTGGAGAACATCTGCTCTACGAAGACCCTGGCAGACTGTGGAGAATAGCACACTATAGCACTGGTGTGGAGTGCTGTGGATGAAGACTGGTGTATTGTGTGGGAGGACGGGAACAGGATTGAAGAGTGTCTCTCAAACTCCATGTCCACCCAGAACCTGGGAATGGAAAAAATCTTTCAATTCATGCCTCGGTGCTATATAAACTGTACCACAGTGGAGAAAAAACAATAAATAAATAAGACTAAAAAAGAAATGATACCCAAGTGTCCATCAATACATGAGTGGATTAATAAAATGTGGTATATGTATATCATGGAGTACTATTCAGCTTTAAGAAACAATGGTGATATAGCACCTCTTGTATACTCCTGGATAGAGCTGGAATGCATTCTACTAAG